GACATGCTCTCCACTAGAGATGCTGTAACTCTCCTTGAGTGGCTTGCCTTTTTTTTTTTTTTTTGGCTTTCTCTTTCAGCTGCTTTTCTGGTTCAGAAACTGGAAAGCATCCCTGGGCAGAAAGCAGTTCTTGCAGCTGGGGGTTACCCATGTGTGAAGGGTGCAGCAGGGTGGTATTGCTCATGACTGCTCTCAAAAAAGGGAAATGCTGTAACTGGATTTCAAGGGTTTCCAGTATGATTTTAGAGCCTGTCTCCACACATCCCTGAGCGTTCAGTATGTATTTGGTCAGGCAGGTCTGGCTATCTGATGACCAGTGGTCAGGGCAAGGGTTCTCAACCACCGTGTGTGTGTGTGAGTGTAAATTCTTGTATGCAGTTGCGAGAGGTGAAACACTATCATGGAAGACGGTTATAGAGCAGTGGTTCTCAAAGCGTAGTCCCTGGACTAGCAGCGTCCCCTCACCTGGAAACGGGTTAGAAATGGAAATTCTAGTGCCCCTTCCCAGGCTACTGAATCAGAAACTCTGGCATGGGACCCGTGAGCAGCATTTTCATGAGCCAGCCAGGGGATCCTGATGTTCGGGGAGATTTGAGCCCTGCCGCCTCACAGCCCACTCCCGGGTACCAGCCAGCAGCCAGGCTGTACCCACAGCCATGGCTTGGGATAGGATGGAAGATAATCCTGAATGTTTTTTTCAAACTTGCAGGTTTTGTTTTATTCTCTTTTTTAAAACCACAAACTCTTAGAGACTGCTGGCTTCAATTTTTTTTTTTCTCTGCACAGAGTTAGGAGGCAGCAAGAAGGTAGCTATATTTTTCTGTTGAGTAATGGTTTAGGTGTCTCATAGGAGAACTAAGTAGAAAGCCTGTTCTTAGAAGAGTCAGGTTTATTTTCCTTTTTCATTTTTCAGTTCTGGATAATTGGGGTCGTGATTTCCCCATAGCCTGAGTCCCACTGGGGTAGCAGCTCTGCCAAATGCGGGGAGGGCAGGGCAGGGAAGACCCTGGGAGGGGAAGATGGCTGGCTTACAGCTTTCAGTCTACTCCATGCATGAGAATGAGTCTGTCCTGAGGTCCTCGGAGGGACAGGAGTCTGAGGCCCCTTGCCGTTGGACGTATATAACCCATGTGGCATGGTGTTTTTGCTCCTCATTGGAACTGGCTCTTAACCCACAGCCAGCAGGCAGAGGTTAGGGTTACTGTTTATTGGTTTATTTTTTAAAGCATGTAACACCATCTTACTGTGAACTGTCCCTTCTCCTTTGCAATTCCCACCTTTGGAAGTAATATTTAGCTGGAGGTACTATGTGTATTTTAATTTAAACTTTTGTTTAGTTTTCAATGAGCTAGAGCTCATTGAACAACAAAACAGTGGTTGTATTTGTTCAGGGATGCAAGTTTACACCCCAGGCCAGAGCAGGGATATTAGCTAACACTGTTCATTCATTCAACATACGAGGGTACTTATTTTTCCACAGACATATTGAAGTACCCTTGTATATTTATTGAGCACTTATCTTGGGCTGTGTGCTGTTCTAGGCCTTGGGGATACCTAGTGAAGAGGACAGACAGAAACCTCTTCCTCCCTGGAACAGACAATGTAGTGGAAGGAGGCAGGAAATGGATAAAGTCAGCAAGCAAATACTAGGAGGCAAATAAGGTAGAGGAGTGGGCTGGAGTTGTGGGGCTGGGGGTGGCAGGGAGATTTCCTGTTTTAAATCTGGTGATCAGGGCGGGTCCCACTGAGAAGATGGCATTTGAACAAACGCTTGTAGGAGGCCAGGGACTGGACCATTGTCCTTCCACGAAAGGGTGTTCTCAGCAACAAGAACGGAGACCCTGGGGGCTGCGTCTGTGCCTGCACTGTGATAGACCCTTGATACTGACTGTTCAATTTAGGGTCACAACAAGTCTAGGAAGCAGGTTCTGTCGTATGCCCATTTTGCTAAAGGGAAGACTGAGCTGGAGTCTCACAGGTGGTATTGATGTTGCTGGGACTTGACCTGCCTGTTCAGCCTCAGTGCCCTGCTTCTAACCACCATTGCCAAACTGCCTCACAAGCACAGATTGAAGACCTATTTTATTTATGTATTTCTATGTTTTTTTTTAATTGAGAAGAAATTCACATAATATAAAATTAACCATTTTATTATTTATTTTTTAATTTAATTTTTTTTTTTTTGGGGGGTGGCTGGCTAGTACGGGGATCCGAACTCTTGACTATGGTGTTATAACACCAGGCTCTAACCAACTGAGCTAAACAGTCAGCCAAAATTAACCATTTTAAAGTGAACAAGTCAGTGGTATCTAATACTTTAACAGTGTTGTACAACCACCACCTCTATCTAGTTGCAAAACATTTCCATACCCCCAAAAGGAAACCCCGTACCCATAAAGCAGCTGTTCCCTGTTTCCTCTTCTCCCCCAGTCCCTGGCAATGACTAATCTGCATTCTGTTTTTATGTATTTACCTATGTGGGATATTTTATATAAATAGGACTGTGGGGCCGAGCCCGTGGCGCACTCGGGAGAGTGCGTCGCTGGGAGCACAGCAGCGCTCCCGCCGCGGGTTCGGATCCTATATAGGGATGACCGGTGC